ATATTTTTTAACCCCACAAAGTATTGCTCGAAAGGGTTATCACTCTTCATGCAACCCCCCATGCCAATAAATTGATTGATTTAGTCAGGCAAGCTTTTTGAGAAAACTTGTTACTTGTGTTATATAATATTTATAGCGTAAAGTGAGCTGACAGAGTGCAAAGCAGTAAGCATGGTAAGTAGACATCGATAAGGGAGTGCCGAACAAATACTTCGCTAATTTAGAAGTATGTCACTTCAAAGTAATTTTTTTAAAATGATATTTTGCTGAGTTTATGTACTGATGGCTAAGTCTAACAGTAAAACAAACCCTCTTGCACTTACCACTACCAATGTTTCTTTCAAGGGCGAAACGCCACACAAATGTGTAGCACAAGATCCGGCGGGGCCTAAATATTAGAACAAAAATGTATGCAACTTATATTTCCGTAAAAGTGGATAAATAGTTGGAACTCGAGATAAAAAAAAAAGATTGACCCCAAAATATATTTCTTTACATGGATAATGGATTATTAACACCTTATTAACACCTTCTTTTACTTTCAACTATTAATAAATATGAAATTTGCACTTTCTATATTAATTTTTCCATTGAAATGGTTTCTTTAAAATTCCTCCCATTTTCCTTCAAACAATGATAAATTCAGTATTATTCAGTATTTCATTTGAATATTTTTTGATAGGCATTATCTATTTATTTTTTTAAATATATATCTATTTTTTTTTTAAATATCAGATGTAGTCTCCAAGAAATTTTGTAAGGTAATTAAGGGCTGGGTCGGGCATGAATCATGGATAATCGATCCCACCCCAGTCCTAAAAAGAATACGTACAACAGAAATAGAGTGGGGTGTCACTTCTAAAGCTTTATTCATAACTAGGACTTTTCACACAAAACTTAGCATAGGTCACTTGTTTTTTTCTTGAGGTGGGCGGGGGGTGGGGGGAGGGGGGGCATTTTTAGTTGGTTTGGTATTAAATACATTTGATATATCTCTTCAAATTCCCCAGACCCCCTTTTTATCTGCACATGAATACTTAATAGTTGACAGATATCTATCATAGCCATGCATGATTCAAAAGGGAAAATTAATTATGGGGAAAATCACACTCTCTACATAAATAAATTAGGGTTCCCCTCGGAAAATTGCATGACTCTGAATGATGTTGAATTTCCATGGGAGGAATCCTAGCTACCATAGAGGCATTTTTCCATAGAGGAAGTCTTACTCCCCTTTGAGTCCTTTTTTCTGTTGGAGAAATCCTGCTCTAAAGCCAGTTAGTATTCCAAGGGGACATATTTTAGAGGAGAAGCTAGGCACTTTATAAGTTGAATCCAGCTTCTTGGATCATCATCAGCTTCTCTCAAATTACATGTATTAAGTCCAAGGCTGCATTCAAGATCATAGCAGCTAACTAGCAGTTAGGTGTTAAATATCTTTCTCTGTTGAACACAGACAGTTAGCTTAACTACAAAGTGTCAGATAAAATATTTCTGTAAAAACTTATTTTTGGAACAATATAAGATTTCAGTTCAAGGGAAAATATTGTGTAAATTTACATTTAATTCCCTTGAATGTAGAAAATAATACCCTTTTTTTGGTTAAAACTGCATGTGTTGTGAAGTTGTAACTTCCATCTTGGATTTGGTACTTAGCATCAAATATTTACGTTAGCTCTCACTAGCAACTTGGTTAGCTCTCTGTTCAAGAGTGTAGCTTTATGTAGCAGCGAAGGAACTAGGTACCCCTGAATTAAATGTATACCTTAAAGTCATTGAGAGGTGCTTTTGAAAGTTCAAGTTTAAGAGTGAACATGTTTTATTCATGTGTATATACCACATTTAATTCACAAAGTGAGGTAGATATCTACAAAATCATATATATTTTAACACTCAAATTAACACATATAAATCTAAAACATATTACTCTTCATTTTTTTAAATTAAATAATTTGTTTGATTGTGTTTGTAAATAAATGTACAATTGCATGTGCATGCCAAAAAAAAAAAAATCACCAATTGAAGTACCCAGAAAGATATTATATCTGCTAGTCCAGTACTAAGCATAAATTTTAATTTAAAATATTTGTAAATAATGAATACAGTGATTATATATGTATTGGCCACTTAATAACTGCAGGAATTATAGTTACACTGTATATATATATCATAATTTATACATGATCATTAAAATTGTTATATTATAGTGTATATTATAATCTGATTAAAATCAGATCTTTGTTATGGCCTCCGTAATTCTGATGGTCACTGTTCAGTGACCATCAGAATTTTGGAGTGTAACAAAGATCTGATTTTTATCAGATTGGTGTATAATCATATATTAACAAATCAAAATAAATTATACTCAGATTAATACTTTAAAAGTTTTAACAACAAAGAATAAGCATCTTAATAAATAATATATCGAGATTTCATTTCCTCCTAAAATATACCATAAATAATACTGAATAATTCATGATTTGATATAATAATAATAAAAAAAAATTGCTAAAGACTGCATGTCAAATTGTACAGTATTTAAATTTTCATATGAAGGGAAAACAAGAGGCCCATGGGCCACATTGCGCACCTGAGCACTAAGGGTAGGAAAAAGTAGAAAATGGCTTTTTATTGTAAAGTTTAAATCCAAAAGTAGTCCCATGACCAATCATGGATTTGCTATTTTTTAGAAAATGATTTTTAAAGAATTTTCCTATATATATCTATAAAAACTTTGGTCGGCCATTTTGGCCCTGCCCTACCCCTGGGGGTCATGATTTGAACAAACTTGAATCTACACTACCTGAGCTTGCTTCCATATAAATATGATGAATTATGGCTTTGTCATTCTTGAGAAGAAGATTTTTAAAGAATTTTCCTATATATTTCTATGTAAAACTTTGGTCGGCCATTTTGGCCCCGCCCTACCCCCCGGGGGGTCATGATTTGAACAAACTTTAATCTACACTACCTGAGCATGCTTCCATATAAATATGATGAATCATGGCTTTGTCATTCTTGAGAAGAAGATTTTTAAAGAATTTTCCTACATATTTCTATGTAAAACTTTGGTCGACCATTTTGGCCCCACCCTACCCCCGGGGGTTATGATTTGAATAAACTTGAATCTACACTACCTGAGCATGCTTCCATATAAATATGATGAATTATGGCTTTGTCATTCTTGAGAAGAAGATCTTTAAAGAATTTACCTATATATTTCTATGTAAAACTTTGGTCGGCCATTTTGGCCCCGCCCTACCCCCGGGGGGTCATGATTTGAACAAACTTGAATCTACACTACCTGAGCATGCTTCCATATAAATATGATGAATTATGGCTTTGTCATTCTTGAGAAGAAGATTTTTAAAGAATTTTCCTATATATTTCTATGTAAAACTTTGATCGGCCATTTTGGCCCCGCCCTACCCCGGGGGGTCATGATTTGAACAAACTTGAATCTACACTACCTGAACATGCTTCCATTAATATATGATGAATTATGCCTTTGTCATTCTTGAGAAGAAGATTTTTAAAGAATTTTCCTATATATTTCTATGTAAAACTTCGATCGGCCATTTTGGCCCCGCCCTACCCCCGGGGGGTCATGACTTCAACAAACTTGAATCTACACTACCTGAGCATGCTTCCATATAAATATGATGAATTATGGCTTTGTCATTCTTGAGAAGAAGATTTTTAAAGAATTTTCCTATATATTTCTATGTAAAACTTCGATCGGCCATTTTGGCCCCGCCCTACCCCCCGGGGGGTCATGATTTGAACAAACTTTAATCTACACTACCTGAGCATGCTTCCATATAAATATGATGAATTATGGCTTTGTCATTCTTGAGAAGAAGATTTTTAAAGAATTTTCCTACATATTTCTATGTAAAACTTTGGTCGACCATTTTGGCCCCACCCTACCCCCGGGGGTTATGATTTGATTAAACTTAATTCTACACTACCTGAGCATGCTTCCATATAAATATGATGAATTATGGCTTTGTCATTCTTGAGAAGAAGATCTTTAAAGAATTTACCTATATATTTCTATGTAAAACTTGGTCGGCCATTTTGGCCCCGCCCTACCCCCGGGGGGTCATGATATGAACAAACTTGAATCTACACTACCTGAGCATGCTTCCATATAAATATGATGAATTATGGCTTTGTCATTCTTGAGAAGAAGATTTTTAAAGAATTTTCCTATATATTTCTATGTAAAACTTTGATCGGCCATTTTGGCCCCGCCCTACCCCGGGGGGTCATGATTTGAACAAACTTGAATCTACACTACCTGAACATGCTTCCATAAAAAAATATGATTTATGCCTTTTTCATTCTTGAGAAGAAGATTTTTAAAGAATTTTCCTATATATTTCTATGTAAAATTTTGGTCGGCCATTTTGGCCCCGTCCTACCCCCGGGGGGTCATGACTTCAACAAACTTGAATCTACACTACCTGAGCATGCTTCCATATAAATACTGATGAATTATGGCTTTGTCATTCTTGAGAAGAAGATTTTTAAAGAATGTTCCTATATATTTCTATGTAAAACTTTGGTCGGCCTTTCTGGCCCGCCCTAGACCCGGGGGGTCATGATTTGAACAAACTTGAATCTACACTACCTGAGGATGTATCCCCATAAATTTTATTTTTCCTGGCACAGTGGTTCTTGAGAAAAAGATTTTTAAAATATGCCACCAAATTTTCATTAATTCCCAATTTTCTCCCCTTGAATGAGGACGTGGCCCTTTATTTGAAGAAACTTGAATCCTCTTCACCCAAGGATACTTTGTGGCAAGTTTGGTTGAAATTGGCCCAGAGTTTCTTGAGAAGAAGTGGAAAATGTGAAAAGTTTACAGACAGACAGACAGACGGACAGACAGACGGACGCCGGACAAAACCATCAGAAAAGCTCACTTGAGCTTTCAGCTCAGGTGAGCTAAAAAAGATGATTATTGTGTTCATGCAGTTTAATAAACTTCTTGCTTCAGAGGATTTTCATGCAGTGTTATAATTAAAATTTACAAAATAAAAAGATTAAAAATTGACTTTTCTCTTTCAACAAAAATTACACTATGTGAAGATCTTTGGGGGGAAAAAAACATTTAAAGTCAAGAAGATAATGAGATAATATGGCATCATCTTTAGAGTTTGAATGTTTTTACAAATACCAGGGTTAATTTAAACATGTCTTTAATTGGAAACAGCAACCTCTTTTATATAGATTATGGGTTTGAATACTATATTATGAATAAATTATAAATACCCGGTATATCAAAATATCGATGCATAAAAATTATTAAATCAGAAAGATATGTAGATACCTGTTACATGTAACATAAATATTAATTAATCCAAAACCTTTGATTCACTTTTCAATCAAGATAAAAATTGGCACCAAAGTTTAAAAAAAAATATGTGCTATTGCAATTTTTCTAAAAAAAAAAAAAAATCACTAGTGCACTATTGTGTTGCAGTAGTCATGGTTTGTGAGCATACAAATAAATATGGCAGTTTAAACAATTATAAGTAAGGCAATCCTATTCTTTTACTCCACCAAGTAAAAGTCACTGATGCGCTTGGCAAGAATAATGCAGTTCATCTGTGGTGAAATGAGATGGCGATGAAGCATGCGGACGGTGGCTCCCGCACTCTGACCCCAGGACTGGAGCACATACTCCGCCGGATTCTCTACCTTCCAGCGCCGCCATTGCTGAATGGTCTCCAGAGGAATCCCCACCCTCTCTCCCAGCATTCTCCAGTCAGCACCTAAAACCACAGATAAAAAAATCTTCAGACCAGCGGCACTGTGATAAAAAGGGAAGTAACTCCATAATGCAAAATATGCAGGTACAAGTTAATTCAAAACTAGAATGACAGACATTGGATCAAAATAAATACATGTATGTTCCAACAACTTGTGTTAACTTAATTAATCAACTGCAGAATTGTCTCCAATTTATATACCACCCTCCCAAGAAAAATGTCTTTAACCTGGAAAAAATGTCCTAATTTTGCCATAGTCATGCAAACAAGCTTACCATTTCCTTTGTACATGCTGAGGTTTTGTATGATATACTTCTTGAGGTCAGGGTTCATGTTCTTGATATGTGTGTCTCCAGCAAGCTTTTTCAGGGGCTGTAAAGATTAAGAGATTTATATAGAAAGGTCAATCTTGCAACAGAGTTTGAGGGGATATAGTAGAGCAATTGTGTGTGTTTGTAGGTGAGTTAGTGCTGTACTAAACAAAAGTGACTTAATTCAAAACATTTGTACCATTATGCTAAAATTTCCACTTTATATGGTAATTGAAAAGGGAATAATTTTCTCAGCTTACTGGTGACAGACTGACGGGTTGGAATTCCTTGACTAAGGACTGCCTGGGTGTGTCCAGCGGAGGGACTGTTGTTGACACTGGATGGTCAGCGTCATTTGGAGGGATTGTTGTTACATCATAACTCTCATCTTCTTCTTGTTCCAAACAGGAAAAGAGACGATTTCCTCCTGTAGAAAATATTGAGGTGGCTATGATGACAAATAATAACAATGCGGCCATTTAACTTTAAATAAAACTAGAGGTACTGTGAGCACCATATGAATATAATGGCAGTGTCCATGTTTTGCTATGGGAAACCCAAAATATGTGTTGGATCAAAAAATAAAATATGAGGTACACATGCAATGGCAATATGTAAAGTAGAATCTGTAAAAGTCTTATTGAATTTCGTTAAGTGGTATAAGAGGAGTTGCGGATATGAGATGGGTACCCCAAAGCATAACGGACGGTCTGATGAACACTCCATCAATATATACACCCCTGCTTTACAAAGGTGGTGGGGGGATAACAAACAACCGAGAACAAGTCCCTTACACTTGTATTACATATTCGTTATACTCCCCGCTTGAAAAGGGGAGGGTATATAGTGATCGGGATGATTTAGTGAGCTCAGTGCTCACAGTACCACTAGTTTCTTATAGGAATGTGACTTGAAAATCTGGGTTGCCTGAACTCCTTATTTGTTCTCAAAAAGTTTTCCTAAAAAGTTCTCAAATAAAAATTATTTATAAAGAGAGGTACTGTGAGCAATATGAGCTCACTGATGATGTCCCCTGCCTCCCATATGGTTATTGTGATGAAGTCCATGTTTGGGAAACCCGAAATAAGTGTCAAATCAAAAAGTAAAATAGAAGGTGCACAATGGCATTACGTAATAAATAATCATTGAAAGTATCATTCAGTTTTATTCAGTGGTATAGGAGGAGTTTCAGTAAAGAAATGGGAACCCTTCAAGAATATAGAAAGAATGGAACTGACCATGTTTTAAAATGGTCAAAAGTCCCAAACAATACAAAGTATGGAGCAGAGAAACCCTGGGGATAATTGTTGTTTTTATGTACAACCGTAGTAACGGAAGTGATGGGAAGCGAGGGGAGGTACATAGATAGCAGCCATGATGCTTGTTTACATGAGGTAAGATCGAGTAATTGTTTGAAATTAAAGGTACATTCATTAAATCTGAAATTTTCCATGAATCCCAAGGATGAAGATGATTATGCTGGTTGTCAAGGGGGTGTGTCCCCATACCAAACCAGATTATACAAAATGTTATGCGTTCCTTTTTGGAAATCAACCAGTGAGAGGCAAGAATACAAGCAAAATTAAATTATTCAGTGGTAAAAGAGGAGTTGTGGATAACAGATGGGTACTCCAGAGTGTAACAGACGGACATACAGCTAGACAGACGGAAAGGTCATACAGATGGACAGACACCCTGATCACTTTATACCCTCCCACTTTTCAAGCAGGAGGTATAAATATAATTTTTCATAGGTAATATTGATAATTTTTCTAACACTTAGCATGCCAGTTTAATATATTCCAATGAAAATTCTAATTTTTAAATATCCCGATTAAATCCCAACATTCCCATGCATATATATCTGAGTAACATTTGTATTACCGTAAATTACCTATGAGTTATCAATCCATTTATCTATCTATATATTAATATTACTTGAGCAATAAAAGTCTACCCATCACCATGTAAAGAATCAAGCAGCCTATAAAAGGACTTAGAAGAATTATCATTTTACATGAAACTTTACCCTTGGAGGAATCTAAACTGTGGCTAAGGAGAAATACAGATATTTTAAAAAAAAAAATGGATCAAACTTTTGAGAAAATTCAATTGAAAAGCATGCATTCATTTGACCTCAAAGTAATATAATTATTTTAAAAATTCTGAAGTAATATTGACTGCAGAGAAATCCAATGCCCAAAAGAATGGTTAGAGAGGTAACAGAATGTACCAGTATATGGCCATCTGTCATTGAAGATGTGATAAAACTAATGCATAACGTAGAAATTCTAATGGCTGATGGTTAATTCTAAAACTTACGGAGTTCATATAGCAAAAACCTAGCCTTTGTTTTAGCATCTACAAGCGTCTCACAAAACTCTATATCCTCTAAGCCATTTTCTAGACTCAGCCTTAATTGTACCATCTTGGCAAGTTCCATATTCAGATGAGTGATTCTTGTTTCAAGCTCCTCAACTCTCAATTCCACGGGTCCCTTCTTTTTACGTTTGTCTCCGTTTGTAATTAAATTTAATATTTGATTCAAATTCTCTACTGATACATTCAGTGGCATCTTAGATTTTTCACTCTCAGATAACTCATATCCCTTGCTTTGTCCGTACTCCACAATTCTTTTAGAAAGGTACTCCACTTTGTCTCTAAGTTCACTGTTTTCCTCCTTATATCTTGTGATCATCTTTTGTAAATCTTCATTTTGGCTGGTTAATTCTTCTAACTTTTCCTTATTTATTAATTGTTCTTTTAACGATGCTGATATTTTCGCAGAATTTGATCGCGTTTCCTTCTTCATGCTTGATTTCTTCTGTTTACTTGCCATGGGTTAAGACATGCAGTACATGAATTGTCCAGACTGCTAAAGTAAAAAAAAAAAATACATGTATATACTTCTAAAAAAACAAGCTAATTCAGAGAATTTGTGTCCCCCGCTTAGGGAAAAAGTCGGCTCCCCCTGACTGAATTTGTATAATTATTAAATGTATACATGTATACTGAAGCAAATAAAATACATGTATGTCAATATGCATATAAAGATTTGATTGCTTATTCTTTATTATGTGTATAGAAGATTTTTTTATATGGAATGTTTATCACACTGTAATGATGATTTTATAACCTCATAAATTTTTCATTTCACATGCTGAATACTATCATTTAGTAAAAAAGAAAAGTATTTAAAAAAAAAGAAAAAAAAAAGAGAGGATTGACCGAGATTCGATCCCGGGACCTCTAACACTTGAAGCGAGAGACATAACCACTAGACCACGGAATCGCTTTACGCGTTCAGAAGTATAAATGCAGAACTGAAGTCACATACGTGTATATATTCATGTTTTCATGTTCGGTATTCTCAAAATTTTACACAATCCATGGCGTTTGATTTATTTAGCCTTTATTAAACAGTTCTAATAGATGTAATAAGAACATAAAGTCCGCCGAGAACCTGTTTTATACGCAATAACTCTCCTCATGCCCCTGCGCTAAAAATAGCGACATGTAATACTATAAATACTAATAAAACAAACAGGGCGGGGCACTTTGAGAGGGGCGAGAGATGTCCTAGGGAGTTTTGGTATAAAATTACATTGCATAAGCTCAAAATCTTCTTGAAATATCGCCCGGAAATGATAGTATTACACACAGACAGAATGTATAAATTTACGACCTTGAACTTTGACCTTTTGACCTCAAAATCAATAGGGGTCTTCATTAGGCCACAGGGAGTTGTTATGTAAAATTTCATTGCAATAGCTCAAATGGTTCTAGAGATATCGTGTGGAAACGAAAGTGATTTAACAGACAGAATTTGCTTATTTATGACCTTGACCTTTGACCTTTTGACCTCAAAATCAATAGGGGTCTTCTTTAGTCCATAGGGAGTTGCTATGCTAAATTTCATTGCAAAAGCTCAAAGGGTTCTCGAGATATCGTGTGGAAACGAAAGCGTTACAGACAGACAGAAAGACGGACGGACGGACGGACAGACGGACGGACGGACAAACCCAAATTAATATCCCCCACTTTTCAAGCAGGGGACAAAAAAAAATAGATTCTATACATATAAAAAATAGACATGTATCTAAGCTGTGAATCAT